CTTTTACTATGAAAATTAAATTGAATAGTTTAGAAAAGCTAAAGATTTTAAAATAAATTAGCTATTGGGCTCAAAGCTATAAAAGATTAGAAAAAAATATGACTATTTAGAAAGAGTTTATATTTGTTTTGCTTTGAAAGTATTCTTAAATTCTTGTTTCCCTGTAGAGAAATTAAAACTTGAAGCTGATGATGATGATTTATAAGGGGTAGAATTTATTCCAGAAAGATATGACAGAATTTTAATAACTGAAACCATGCTCAAATAAAATGAATTGTTCCTATATTAAAAGACTTGAAAACAAATGCACATTTACTTAAGTTAAAATAAACATTTAAGAAATGCCTTAGAAATGTGTTTGTATGTGTATGTTATGTGACTTCATTAATAAACCTACTATTAGTTCTGATTTCTGGGAGTCTTCTCCTAGGCTTCTACTACATAGCAAGCTCAATGTCATACAAATGATGACAGTTGCTCCAATTAAGTACAAATAAACCACTGTGGGAAGAAAAAGAGTAATCTAGATTGGATTAGGAGAGATGATGTCAGATGAAGATAGAGTGGAAAGAAGGTTAGTCCAGGTCAAGAAAGCAGTATGAGCAAAATACAGTGGGAACTGAGTAGAACGTGTATAAGAAGTAAAATAACGTCAGGTGTGGTTAGAGGTGTGTGTACAGGAAAATGGTAGCAAGGAAGATGCAAGCAAAGTGTCTACTCTGGGTTCCCCAGAAGACCCTAAGACATGAACTTATGTTAGAGTGTTTTACTAGGAAGTGTAGTGGAGAAGTGGGATCAGAAAGTGAAGTGAGACTCACAAGGTTGTGATATCAGGCAAAAATTCATGAAGAGTAACTTTTGCTCAGTCCCACAGGGAGATCTATAAACAAGACAGAGCACCTCAGAGCTGGCCCCATAGGAGGCAAGGGAGTGAGAGTGATTGTTCCTTCTGCCCTCAATCCCCGGGAGACTTAAATACCCAGGCTATTCTGGCTTCCCATGCCCACAGATCAAACCCACTCCAGCAGCCTACAAAGACTGAGAGGTATTGGCTGGTGGGAGTGGAAGCCATGGACAGCCAGGTATGCATGGAAATGGGGATATGGGAAGAGCACCGACATCCTCCTTTGTTTCAAAAGACTGGGCTATATCAAGAGAGCATTGAGTGCCAAGGTGAGGGTTAGGATTTATTCAAAGTACATTAAAAGTGGTCGGGTCTCTGAGCAGGGGTGCAGTATAATTAGTAATACCCATTATCTTCTGGGTTGTTTTTTTGTTTGTTTGTTTGTTTTTTAAGAGGGAGCCACTTTTCATCAGAGTAGAAAGCAGAGTTCTCAGTGCATTTACAGGTCTAAGATGGGATAATAAATTATAAACCAATGTCTTACTAAACTGCCCAATAAAGAAACAGCCTTTTAGCTAGGTATCAATTCCACGGGAATTTACATTTACCCTCTACCTGAAGGCAGAACAGAGAAATTTTCCTTGGAAAACCACTTAAACTGGCTGTTGATTTTCAAAGGTACTTGTATTTATAATAGCGCCTCTGGGAACACATGAATGGTAATTCATACTAACAAGCCCTTCTTGTTTAACTACCTAACATGTCTTTCAGTAACATAATGAATTATAGCTACTAAGCAATTCCATATCATGCAGTAAAATGGAAATTATACAGTGAAACTACTTTATAGTATGTTTGGTATCTTGAATTCTTTCTGGGTCTGAAATAGCTTCTTGACTGGCTTAGTGCTGTAAGACCTAACTAAAACAAAGGTAAGTGTTAAGGGGCTTCCACTAACACAGACTCAATAAGAAGTAAGAGACTATGTCTTTCCAGTATTCCCCACTGCGAAAACATATCTGTATTTCCAAAAGCTTGGGGACTATCAATTCTGATCCTCTATTACTAAGTAAATTAGTTCCAGTAGCTCACATTTCACCTCCTCAGCTGGATAATCTACAAGAAATATCAAGTCTCTGGGGCTGCTCAAATAGCAGCTAATGAAGTGACTACTGCATCAAAATGACTGATCCAAGAGATTGAGAATTAAGTGAAACTTCTGATAATTAATCATCACACAGAGCGCAGCTCAGCCTGAGGATGAGCCACTAATGAAGTGAGACGCAGCATACCAAGCAGGATACCCGCCTTCATTTTTTTTCCCCACCTTCATTTTTGGATGTAATGCAAACCTGCAGCCTTTCCTCCATATGTTTCAGAAGAAGCTTGGCAGAGGAAGATGACATGGATTAGTGACACTAACTTAATATTGGGTTCCCCAGAAATGAACTCAGAGATGAGGATTCTTATACAAGTGACTAAGGAAGTATTCTCAGGATAATCCAGTGATGGGGTGGGAGAAACAGGTCAGGGAAGAGAGGGATCCAGGCAAAGACAGAGACTGATCCAGCAGAAGTGCTCTGGAATATAAGTAACACCTTCAAATTTTTCCAACACTAAGTAAGGGAATTGAGTTTTCAGATCCCTTCCTCCACCCCACCTATCAGGTGTTGGTTAAGAGTTGCCTTGTTGCAGGAGATCCATAAACTCCAAAGAATTTCTGGCTCTTTGCCCATGTGGAAAAAGCCACAGTAACCCGAGGATAGTTTTCTAAAGAGAGTTTCAGGTGGAGGTGGTTGGAGGCAAAAATTCTAACAAACTTGGTGAAAGGAATCCAAAGTCACTTGGCAGAGAACCAACTGAGTTCAACAGATATTAAACACAATCAGAACTTTTCTACCTTGAGCAGGCTCAGAGAGATGCTTCTTCTTATGGTATTAGAAAGTGAAACCACTCAATGGCAATGTGAAAGTAATTACCTGGAAAAGTTGTTACCTGAGCACAGAGGATACTCTAAGCTGATTTCCAAAGAACCCCAAATATGCTTTAAAGTTAAATTTATGGTAAAGAAGTTGATTTTATGTACTAAAATGCATGTTAATCATCCTTCATCTATGTCATGCATCATATGATGCCTTAGACATTTTCTATCTATGATTCTATGATGCTCACCCATACACATAAGGAATGAAGTGATAGGAGATTGTTAGGTCACATTAAGTGCCATCCATTATGGTGAGTCATCTCATTCAATTCCAAGAAATGTAAAGCTGTAATGACCAAATATTTTCCATAAATATTGTCAGAAGACTGTTATACTATTGTAGAATCATTTGTTGTTATTATTGTACTTTGTATCTCTAGCACATTTATGTTAGTCATGGGCTTGCAGTTATTTTATGTTTAAATATTTTTATTATATTGTTGTCGATTTTACTCACAGCCAAATTATACCTCCTAAATATTTTTTTTCATTAGTTATTTCCACCATGTTTGAGACCAAAATTTATAAAATCCCACTAGAAAGTTGTATTTAATTTCTGGGTCTCAGTCTCCTTGTATAAAATGAGGATAATGATACTTAGCTCACAATGGTTGTTATAACCATTAGATGTGAACAATGTTGCTACTGATGATGATCAACATTTGTTATTGTTGATACCCAAACATTTGTTATTGTTGATACCCATTGCTTTTTCCTGTCTAGCATCCACTCACCGTTCCTTTAGTACTACTATACCTGGATTTCCTCTGGGGCAATACCACCTTTAGGACCAGGATGTGTTATGATTGTCTTAAACAAGTCAACATAGCTCACTTCTATGGCCACAGTGTCATCTCAGGATGGGCAAATAATCTAGGATTAGGATAACCAGGCCCAGGGTATTGGTTAGACTATTGGAGGAGGAGGAACTCCCTCTTCTCTTAGACAGTGTGGTGCTAGGATGGGAGGCTTGAAATTGTGTAGTGCCCAAAAGAAACATACCTGGAGCTAGTGAAGAAGGCAAATACTGTATGAAGTTTGAAAATTAGGTCAAGACAGAGAAGTAGATCAAGCCCTGCTTGATAATCACTGACCAATAATTTCCTTTTCCTTTTTGAGCAGTATGGGTTGGGATTTCTGTCAATTGCAATAAGGGGACTGTGATATAATATAGATATTACCTAGGCTTTATTGAGAGTTTACAATGTGCCAGACACAATACTTGAGCATCACATAAAATGCATATTCAAACCTTGCAGCATCCCTATAAGCTATGTCAAATTATTATATCACAAATGAGAATGCCAAAGCCTGGGAAGTTAAGTAATTTGCCCAAGTTCACACAGACAATCATGAAGCTACCAGGATTAAACTCAGGAATTTTCATTTGAGTCCATTACCTTTACTATCATGCTTTTTCTTCTTCTTTTGTCTTTCTATATAAAGAAAAATGTTTGGTTATGTAAACATGATCTTTTTTTTTCCCACTTTACTCTTGACTACCTGTAGAAGGACTCCAGCTTCATTGAATGAATCCAAGGTAGTTTACAACATACTATATTATCAATTTCTAGAACCAGCCTTGAGATTATTTCTGTGACTATAACTCAAGTCCTGGGTTATGAATCTCAAAAGTAAGAAAGTAGGAAACCAGATACATTAGCTATTGGTCACTTCCTCATGTGAGCCAAGGTAAGACAACTCCTGCTTATGTCTGACTTATAAAGAATGGGGGATAGAGAGAATGTTTTGACACTGATCTTGCTCTATGGATTTGTTTCTGTTTATGTGAAAATGAATGTGTTCTCTTTGTTTTTGTTTATGTGAAAATGAATGTGTTCTCTTTCAAATAGGATCATATCATGTATTTATTTTATCAATAGAGACCTCCAAATGATATACATTTTTAGTAAAGCATATTATAATATATATGACTATGTGGTTTGCAATAATACATATGATTATGTGGTTTGCAATAATATATATGATTATGTGGTTTGCATTGTATTGAATAAAGATTTACAAAAGAATATATTTACATTTATTACATGATTCCAAAATTAGTTGTACTACTAATTTTTCAGATTATCCCTTGAAAATTGGAAGATATCAATGTGGTTCATAACTTGACTCATTGTATAATTGTTTGACTAATCTGGAAGCATTTCCTACCTTGGGTTGAAGTACAAACCACTCATCACTTGAATTTTCAAAGTTCCATGAGTCAAAAGGAATCTCCACCTCCCCAAGGAAGCTGTTATGTCCAAATCGATCATAATGCCAGACTGAGAGCTGCAGTGTTCTTGTTTCCAGTTGGGTATGGCTGATAGTATACTGCAAATGAAATTGACAGCATTACATTCCATATGAAAGGCTCTGGCCAATTTCAGGACAGGTTGAAATTTACTTTCACCATCTTTCAGATCAGATGCATTAGTAATATGAACAAACCAAGCAAACACAAAAAGTTTTTTCTTTGTTTCCGCTACAACTGAGGTTCTATTCCATAAGCTCATTTTGTGTTAGACCTAGCACTGAAAGATATATCAGCAAAATATTTAGGGGGGAGTCAATCAACTTCAGATAGTGTATAAAAAAGTGTTAGGGGAAAGAGTATCGAAGATGGCGGCTGGCAGGACTGAGGTGAGGGATAGGAAGTGAGTGAGTGAGGGGATGAAAGGAGAGTGTGTGGATGTGTGTGGTGTGTGTGTGAGTGAGTGAGTGAGGGACAGTTAAATCCGGCAGGAGCAGCAGAGGCTGACAGACCAGGCTCTCTGGGACACAGAGAGACTACCACCTCTGCGGCACTCCCAGACTGCGGGACTCTGGCATGGAGCCCCCGCCATCTTGAAGGGGAGAGCAGTCTCTTCTAGGAACTCAGCAGCACCACCACCCAGACAGGCCTTGGACATTGCCCGAGACCCGGCAGCCACTCCAGCCAAAATCCTGCAGCCACACCCGCAGACTAGCAGACCCTGGGACCTCCACCACGCCTGCAGCAGTAAGTGTATCCACCCCCTCCCCATCTGCAGACCTCTAACATCACTTTTGTGCATCTCCAGCAAGCAGGTCTCCCGCATGCAGGTCTCCCAGGCACACCACTGCATACACTTCTCTTAACAGTCACTGTGAGCCTCAGCTGGGTGTGATTTTGTACAGACACAAGCTCACTGCCCCCAGTAGAAATTCTGAATTCCCTCTGCCTCAATAACTGCCTACACACACCCAGCTGCGCAACTTAAGCGCCAGGGCCCTTCAGCACCAGGGCCCCTCAGAGTGCGTCAGAGCTCAGCACCAGAGAACTGCACTGCCACAGTTGCTCACTCCCCCTGAGCCCATCTATCCACAGGGCACTGTGGGGAAGGAGCGGTGAGTCTCTGCTGGGTCTGATCTTGGACTAATAAGGACACACTCCCCTGGGCAGTAGAAATTCTGAATTCACCAATCCTGGATACCTGCCCAAAGCGTGCCAGGGCCCTTCAGAGTGCTTCAGTGCACCTGCACTAGCAAACTCACTGCGAATTTTCCTGTGTGCCGCCACGGGGAATGCGAGCCTATTCACCACAGGTGCATCAGCAAAATCTGAGTTTCCCCAACCCACAGCTGCAGAAATCTGGACACTACAGTAGCATGCTTTTGCAGCGTGCAGGTCTCCTAAGACCACCGCTCCACAGGCAGCCCTGGGGCCCCGCTGAGAGCCCTGCTGGTCATGCACTTAAACAAACACGGGTGCACTTCTGGGCTGTAGAAACGCTGAATTCCCTCTTCTGGGATACCTGCCCACAGACACTACAATCCAGTGGCTTCAGTGCCAAGGCCCTTCAGAGTGTGTCAGTACACCTTTCTGGCAAATACACCACAGGTGCCTCTGTGAGCAGCCGCTGGAATCTCATGTATTTAACCATGGAGGCAGCAGCAAAAGCTGAGTCTACCCACCCCACAACTACAGAACTCTGGACACCACAGTCACCTTTGCCAGAACGCAGGCTTCCTGAGCCCCACCACCCCAATAGACGGTTCCTGCACGCCACTGTGAGTCCCTGTGGGGCACGCATGATTTCAACCAAGGGCATAAGACAGCAAAAATTAGAACACCTCCCTCCATGGCTGCTGACTTCTACACACCTCAGTTGTGCTTTTCCAGCTCACAGGCCTACATCTAGAGGACCCAAATAGCCCAAGGAAGGAGCTACAGTAGACTACCAAGCCCAGGAGACCTGAGAGGTCACACCAGTAGCACCATACCCTAAAGAAACTGGGTAGCAAAGCAATCTGAGCAACAGTTAAAACATTACAGCAAAGTATGGGAAGACAATAAAGCAATCCACAAAGGAAAGAAAAAGAGAAATCACCAGAAAGGAAGTTAAATGAAAGTGAGGCTACTAACTTATCAGAGAAAGAATTCAGAGTAATGGTTATAAGGATGGTCAAACGGCTGGATGGTCAAACACACACAACTCAATGAGAATTATAAGGAGCTGAATGAGAATGTCACCAACATGAAAAGGAACCAAGAGGAAATGAAGAATGACATAGCTGCAATAAAGAACACAATGGAAGGCTTAAACAGCAGACTAGAAGAGGCTGAGGACCGCATCAGCGAATTAGAAGACAAGGTAGGAAAAACAAACAAACACAGGAGCAACTGGAAAAACAATTTAAAAAGCAAGAGGAGAGCCTAAGGGAGCTTTGGGACAATGCAAAAACAGAACAACATTCCCTTAATAGGGGTGCCAGAAGGAGAGGAGGAGAAACAAGGAATAGACAACCTGTTTGAAGAAGTAATGACAGAAAACTTCCCTGATATTGGCAAGAAAAAAACTACACAAGTCCAAGAAGCACATAGAGTGCCAAACAAGGTGAACTCCAAAAGACCAACACCAAGACACATCATAATTAAATTGGCAAACACCAACAACAAAGTACGAATCTTATAGGCTGCCAGAGAGAGACAGAAATTTACATACGAGGGATCTCCTATTAGAATATCAGCTGACTTCTCCACAGAAACACACCAGGCAAGAAGGGAATGGAATGAAATATACAAAGAAACAAAGAGAGAGGACCCAAATAAACAAAATCAGAAATGTAAGAGGTGAAGTAACAACTGACCCTACTAATATACAAAGGATTATCAAAAAATACTACGAACAACTCTACTCCAACAAACTGGACAACCTCAACGAAATGGACACATTCCTAGAAAAATACAAGCTTCCAAAACTCAACCGGGAAGAATCAAAAAACCTGAAGAGGTCAATAACTACTGATGAAATTGAAACAGTAATCAAAAAGCTTCCAGCAAACAAAAGCCCTGGACCAGATGGCTTCACATGGAAGTTTTACCGAACATTCAAAGAAGAACTAAAGCCAATCCTTTTCAGACTATTCCAAAAAATTCAAGAGGAAGGCACACTTCCAAGCTCTTTCTATGAAGCCAGCAGTACCCTAATCCCAAAACCAGATAAAGACACCACAAAAAAGAGAATTACAGGCCAATATCCCTGATGAACATAGATGCTAAAATCCTCAACAAAATTCTAGCAATCCGGATCCAGCATTACATTAGAAAGATCATACACCATGACCAAGTGGGATTTATTCCAGGAATGCAAGGTTGGTACAATATCAGCAAATCAATAAACGTGATATATCACATAAACAAGTTGAGAGACAAAAATCACATATTGATTGATGCAGAAAAGGCATTTGACAAAGTCCAAAGCCCATTTCTGATAAAAACACTCATCAAAGTGGGAATAGAGGGATCATACCTCAACATAATAAAAGCCTTATATGAAAAACCTACAGCCAATATCATACTCAATGGGCAAAAACTGAAACCATTCCCCTTAAGAACAGGAACAAGACAGGGATGCCCACTTTCACCACTCCTGTTTGACATAGTACTGGAAGTGCTAGCCAAATCAATCAGACACGAAGAAGAAATAAAAGGCATCCAAATTGGAAAAGAAGAAGTAAAATTGCTATTATTCGCTGATGACATGACACTGTACTTAGAAAACCCTAAAGACTCCATTAAAATTCATTTATTAGACATAATAAATGAATTTGGCAATGTAGCAGCATACAAAATTAACGCCAAGAAATCTATGGCATTTTTATACCCCAATAGTGAACTTACAGAAAGAGAAATTAAAAAAACAATCCCACTTACCATTGCACCAAAAAAATTAAGATACCTAGGAATAAACTTAACCAAGGAGGTAAAAGACCTCTACCCAGAAAACGACAGGACATTGAAAAAAGAGTTAGAGGAAGACAAACAGATCAAAGAACATATCATGTTCATGGATTGGTAGAATAAACATCATCAAAATGTCCATACTACCCAAAGCAATCAATGCACTCCCCATTAAAATACCAACAGCATATTTCACAGATCTAGAAAGAACTCTCCAAAAATTCATCTGGAATAAAACAAAAAACAAAACCGAGTAGCTGCTGTGATTCTGAGAAAGAAGAACAAAGTAGGAGGGATCTCAATACCAGATATCAAGATGTATTACAAAGCCACTGTTCTCAAAACTTCCTTGTACTGGCACAAGAACAGACATATAGACCAATCGAATAGAATAGAGAACCCAGAAATCGACCCAAACCACTATGCTCAATTAATATTTGACAAAGGAGGCAAGAACATACAATGGAGTCAAGACAGTCTCTTCAATAAATAGTCCTGGGAAATTTGGTCAGACACATGCAAAAAATGAAACTAGACCACCAATTTACACCATACACAAAATAAACTCAAAATGGATAAAAGATTTAAATGTACGACAGGAAACCATAAGATTATTAGAGGAATCCACAGGTAGCAAAATCTCAGATATATGCTGAAGGAATTTCTTCACTGACACAGCTCCTAGGGCAATGGAAACTAAAGGGAAAATAAACAAATGGGACTATACCAAAATAAAAAGCTTCTGCAGAGCAAAAGAAAGCATCAACAAAACAACAAGAAAACCTACTGCATGGGAGAACATATTTGCCAATGATATCTCCAATAAAGGTTTAATCTCCAACATTTATAGGGAACTCGTACAACTTAACAAAAGGAAGATAAACAACCCAATCAAAAAATGGGCAAAGGACCTAAATAGACACTTTTTGAAAGAGGACATACATAAGGCTGAGAGACTTATGAAAACATGCTCAAAATCACTAATCATCTGAGAGATGTAAATCAAAACGACAATGAGGTACCATCTCACACCTGTCAGAATGGCTGTCATCAACAAATCAACAAATGACAAATGCTAGCGAGGATGCAGAGAAAAAGGAACCCTCGTTCACTGCTGGTGGGAATGCAAACTGGTGCAGCCACTGTGCAGAACAGTATGGAGTTTCCTCAAAAAACTAAAAATGGAACTTCCATTTGACCTAGTGATCCCACTTCTAGGAATATATCCCAAGAAACCAGAAACACTAATCAGAAAGAAAATATGGACTCTTATGTTCATAGCAGCACAATTTACAATAGCTAAGATTTGGAATCAGCCTAAGTGCCCATCAGAAGATGAGTGGATTAAAAAACTTTTGGCACATCTACATAATGGAATACTACGCTGCTGTAAAAAAGAAGGAACTCCTACCATTTGCAACAGCATGGATGGAGCTGGAGAGCATTATGCTAAGTGAAATAAGTCAGTCAGAGAAAGATAAATATCACATGCTCTCACTCATTTGTGGATTATAAAGAACAACGTAAACCGATGAACAAAAACAGATGTAGAGACAGAGAAGCATTGATCAGATGCTGAAAACTCAGAGGGAAAGCAGGGGAGGGTGGGGGTGAGGGGGAAAGATCAACCAAAGGACTTGTATGCATGCATATAAGCATAAGTGATGGATATGGACAACAGGACGTGAGGGTTAGGGCAGAATAGGGGGATGAGGGGACATTGGGGGGATAAGGACACATTTGTAATATCTTATTCAATAAAGGGAAAAAAATGTGTTAGGAGATGAAGTTTGTCCCATTTCCAGTTTTACCGGGTTTTTATTTGCCTAATTATTTTTGACATGTATTTTATAAGCTTAAAATTTAATATATCAATTCTTCAACTTCTCTGTCTTATTTTATTCATAATGAGAACTCACATATCCAGAAAAGTACTGACAGTGAGACATTTATGACCACCAAACTTCATAAAGTCAAGCCTAAGTGAAGAGATGAAAATGTAAATGTAAATATAGAAAGAACAGAAAGAAAATATTGCTCAGGTAGATTTTCCTTTTCCAGTAGAATTTATCCAAGGCCGCATGTCCATACACCCTCAAGCTTTCTGCTTGTTTTATTCAACTACCACCTAGGACTTGCTTCAGACTAACTGATTCCTGATCTTGGATTTGCATCTATACCGATTCCTTGCTGTTCCTGACATGATTAACCTTGGTTCCCTGCTTCCTGAATTTGCCATATCACTCTGTTTATCTATTCTCTATAGTCTCAGCTCTGCTATCTTATTATGGTCACTGTATTAACCCACAACCTATATTTATTCATTCTCATTTTTATCTTGATATTGCTTCCTGTTTCTGCACATGACCCCACTGATGCATGCCCTCACTTACCAACTTCCTGCTATGCTGGACATTGGATCCATCATTCTATCCACAAGATGCATAAGTTTCCCTGTTACTGACAATAATCTCTACATTCTAGTCTCCATGGTTTTTCTTACCAGTCTAGATTGATCCAGGATGAGAAACAGTGTTGTTACATGGAAGCCAATGGGGAAAAGTAATTTTTCTAGGATTGAGGCCTGCGTCATATCTTATCTAGGTCACTTTCTCTCATACACCGCAAATCTAACTCTGTATCTCCATTATTCATTAACCACATGCCTGTACTAGTATTTAGCCAAATTTTGAAATCTTAACAAGAAACAGCACATATTCGTGTTACCAGAACAATGAGTGTGTACAAAATGACCTGCTAAGTCAATGACAAACTTCCTTTTGTGGGGAACTAGAAAAAAACAGTTTTCCCAAGGGTAAAATATATCTTTTGGACAAGATTTTTTGTGCCAGCTAAGATATAATTTTACTGGATCTTCTCTACTTAAGCTTCAACTTTAGCATCAGCAGAGAAATAAAGTAAGAGTGGTTTACATTGTTTCTTTTCCAAAAAGCTGTTAGGAAAGCCAAGAGTATTATATTAATTTATTCAAATTTTACTTTTATAAAATATACATGCAAATTCTCTGTAGCTACTTCTAAACCAATGAGGTTGTGAACAGTATCACTAGAGTTACCATGAGAGACTATTTACTTACTTTTAGTGTTTCATTGAATTCCGGATTGATGCCAGTTCTGATTTTAGTCTTGCGCTTATTATTTCTAGACTTGTCAGGAAGAAGGTATGACTTGACATAACTGTAAATGATAAAAGATGAAAGTAATTACTGGGAAAAATCTACTTTGCAAAAAAAAATACTCAGAGACTTCAGTGAATAAAACAAGTAAAGAGAATTGGCCAGTAATTATAAGATTCAGCCTGGCCTCTGTGGCTCAGTGGTTGAGTGTTGACCCATGAACCAGGAGTTTGTGGTTCAACCCCTGGTTAGGGCATATACCCTGAATTCAGGCTTAATCTCCAGTAGGGGGCATGCAGGAGGCAGCCAATCAATGATTCTCTCTCATCATTGATGTTTCTCTCTTTCTCCCTCTCCCTTCCTCTCTATGAAATCAATAAGAATATAGAAAATAAACATAAGAGACAGAACCAAAGAGAATATAGTCCACATAACAGATTATCTTAAAGACAACTCTGGGCCTTGAATAAAAGAGAAGTGGTAAAGAGTATGGGCTCTGGAGTCATGCCAGTTGGGTTTAAATCATTCCCTGCCTCATTAGTTTTGGTGAACTCAAGATTATACTAATGCTCTCTGTGCCTCAGTTTTCTCATCTGTAAAACTGGGACAATAACAATATCTAATTTATGATATTGTTATTTGTGAGGATTAAGTCAGTTGATACATTTAAAGACCTGACATATTATATAACTCAAGAAGAAATATAATCTATTATTATGATTAGTAGTCTCACAAAATAGTATGAGGTTATATTCCTCTCTATTCATATGTCAGGAGTTCTGATTAGTGCTCTCAATGGTAATGGGTGAATAAAGAAAAATGGTAAAAAGGAAGAAATAAAAAATAACAACCTAGGTCAGAATAGCAATTCATCCAACAACTTGTGTTGAACTATCTCAGCAACCTCCTGAAGCAGGGGCATCATGACAGACTCAGAAATGTATAAGATGTACAACATTCTACCAGAGTTCTGAAGCACATGAACTGGGGCTTTAGATGACCCCTTTCCATGTTAGTCTAAATGATTATATTTGTCCTGAAGCCTTCTGATATTGAACTGAGGAAGTAGGTGGACAATTTGTACTCAGTTTCCATTGATTTGTCTATCTTAAAATATTTGGAAACAGCTTGGTTGCATTGTTTATTGAACCTAGGTCACCTAATATATAAAAAAGGGGGTCACATAGCTGGCCTGAGAGTGTGCTATCCTTAGAAATGCCTGCTTATAAGGTTGGTGCTTGGCTGGAATCTGGGAACTTGGATTTCAGAAAGATTCTTATCAGTCCCAGAACAGATATAGTTTTGTTACTGTGACTAAGCTATAAAAACAATGACTGATGCTGAGCATCTGCTTTTATTCTGGGAAACTGGCAATTTTCGTATGTGACCAGTTGAGTCTCTAAATGGGCTTCCCTGGCGGACAACATTGCCCAATGTCACAACCTGTTGCTAGAGGAATTAAATGTATCCTGTGTAGTCACTGGAAGAGAACCCTTGTAAGCTTAAGCCTGGTTTCTTCAAAACTGCATCACATATACCTCTTTTCTTTGCTGATTATAACTACATATGGAGTGCTATGGGTCCTCCTAGTGAATCATCAAACACAGCAGTGGTCTTTGCAATACCTGATACATTTTTATATCCAGCTCCCCTCCAAAGTGCCGTGGTCCACACCTACCCTTGAAGACTGATTCCTGGAATCCCATGAGCTTCAAAATTGCCCCTTTGATTTGTTCAACTGGGCTAACAGTTTGGTAATTTTCTCTGAAGTATGCCCCAGAACAAAAATTAACTCTCATGCATCCTGGGGTATGCCAATGTGTCAGCCTTCTATTTCAAAGAGCTGCCTCTGCCTAAACAATAAATATGTCAGTCCTAAATCATGTTGAGTAATAGCTTCTTAACAATCAGGTAACTATAGACAAAAGCATTACAGATGAACTTTGAACATTTAGAAGTGTGACATTGGAGGAAAGTGACAATCAACCTTCAGAAGAATGCTAAGAATCTCCTGAAAAGTGACATCAGAGGAATGGCAGCATGATAGTGCACCTTGTCTTCTCCTCCTGAAATTTCAACAAGTTAACCAACTATAATTCAACAAACAAATCCCTGCTCAACACTGACACATGCCTGAGAAATCTGGGCATTGAAACATTTAAAGGTGGGTAACCTGGAATAAGTGGGGAGAGGAAAAGGGAGGAAAGCACAGATGGCCCATAGATGCAGCCCTGCAGCCAGAAGCTTGTGGCCTGGCTGGGAATAGGAGAAATCTGGCAACAGCAGGCACTTCCTTCAACTAGGAGGAACAGAGAGCTGCAGGGAACAGCCCAGTACAGTGAGCAGTGAGGAAGCAAACAGTGTCTGAGTCAGCAGACTTCTGACAGAACATGAGGTTCTGCCATGCAGTTTCCAATGTTGAGCTGGTTGCTGGTGTTTCAGGCAAAGAAATGGAACCACAGAGCACCTCTGTCACTTGGACTCCCAAAACTTGCCTCCCATTGACCTTGGAGTCAAGTCCAGGAGCATATTATCTGTAAACCAAGAGCTGTTGCAGTAGAACTGCTGTTTCCCTCTGTGGTGGATCCCCATTGCAGTGAGGGCAAAACAAAGCCCACCCCGAATCAGAGTGGCTGTACTGTTTCACAGAAGCTGTGGAGGTCAAGACTGGAAGATCACAGAGATAAAATCTTGTGATTCAGTGCCATCTACTGGAAAATAGCAGAAAGACCTCTTCAAAGAAAGCTGCTATACAGAAGGTCATTAATATAGACAGATATTCATGCCTAGGCAAAGGAGAATAGCAAATACTATGAATAACCACAGTAATGAGGATGATCAGAAAGAAAATGAAAAATCCTCAGAAAGCAAGTTGGAACACATGGAAGTATGTGATATAAATGACAAAGATTTCAAGATTGAAGCTCCGAAAATACTCAACGAGATGCAAAAAAATACAGATGGGCAATTCAGTGCACTCAGAAAACAAATCAATGAACAAAATGAGTACTTTATTAAAGAGATTGAAACTTTAAAAAGAACCAATCAGGTTCAGCTGGAGTGGCTCAGTGGCCGAGCATTGACCTGTGGACTGAAGTGTCCCGGGTTAGATTCCAGTCAAGGGCACATGCCCCGGTTACAGGCTTGATCCCCAGTAGGGGGCATGCAGGAGGCATCATTGATATTTCTATCTCTGTCCCTCTTCTTTCCTCTCCGAAATCAATAAAAATATATTAGAAAAAAGAACCAATCAGAAATCCTGGAAATGAAGCATGCAATTAAGGAGATTAAGAGTGAACTACTGGGGGGAGAAAAAATGGTGGCTGAATAGTCCGACTATTGTGAACCTCATCCTAGGGCCAGACTGTAAATACAACTAAATTGGACAATATTCACCTGGAATTACTAACTGAGGTCCAGCTGAGGAGGAGACATATCAAGGAAGGACAGAAAATACCTGGAGATTGGTAGGAAGGGTGAGGTCATGAGGGTAGCTGACTCAGCTTTCACAGGTGGCAGGCCAATGGGCCAAGAGTGAGGAGGGAGCTCCCAGCTATGGGAGGGTCAGTTCCCTCAGAGGATAGAGCCCTGGAACACAGGCTGAGATCCACAGGCTGGAGCACCAGAATCGAGACCAGCAGCTTATGTTGAAAGGCCACAGGGTTGCTGGTTGTGGTGAGTCTGGAGGCAGTAAACCAGAACCAGTTGGAGAGAAAGATGCAGTTTTTATTATTGTTGTTTTGTTTCTTAAACTCAGAGCAAAGGAGTTTTTATTTGCATATACTCACCCAAGGATTTGGTGCAGGGAGGGAGATGGAGACTCAAGGTGCCTAAGTATGGGAAGCATTGTGGGGAGATGTGGAAAAGCAGCAGCCAGGAGTATTTGGTCATAAGCCTTCAAACCAAAACAGCCATTTTTCCTGAGAGGAGCTAGCTGCTTCCAGTAGCCTCAGGGAAGGAAAAAAAAAAACTATCCTAGATGATTCAGCCTGTCCCATCCTCAGGATCCCTGCATTGTTGTATCTTTTTTCTTTTATTTCTTTTTGTACCTTTTTAAAATTAATCTTTATGTATCTGCTTTACTGATTTGTTATTATTCTAGTCTCTGTTGTTTTGTTCATATATCTAATTTTCTTTTTCCATTTTCTTACTCATTTTTTTCCTCTTTTTTCACTACTCATTTTTTTTTCTTTTCTTTCTCTCATTTCTTGTCTTGAGTTTTTTCATTCCCCAACCCCCTTTTCTTATTTTAGGACTATCTACTTTCTCCTCTATTTTAATTTTCCATTTTCTCTCTTTTTTGACCTCTCCTTCCTCCTTTATTTTAAACCATTTTCCTTCCCCGAATCCCCTAATACTTTATATTATTTTATTTAGTTCAGATCTGAATCTACATATTCCTTCCTCCCCACTTTTTTTTTAAAAAAATATTTCTTTACTGATTTTTTATTATTTTTTTAAATTAAATCTTTATTGTTCAGATTATTACAGTTGTTCTTTTTTTCCCCCCATAACTACCCTCCACCTGGTTCCCACCCCACCCTCTGCTCTAACCCCCCCATTGTCCTCATCCATAGGTGCACGATTTTTGTCCAGTCTCTTCCCGCATCCCCCACACCCCTTTCCCCCCTGAGAATAGTCAGTCCACTCCCTTTCTATGCCCTTGATTCTATTATAATCACCAGTTTATTCTGTTCATCAGATTATTTATTCACTTGATTCTTAGACTCACTTGTTGATAGATGTGTATTTGTTGTTCATAATTTGTATCTTTACCTTTTTCTTCTTCCTCTTCTAAAAGGATACCTTTCAGCATTTCATATAATACTGATTTGGTGGTGATGAACTCCTTTAGCTTTTTCTTGTCTGTGAAGCTCTTTATCTAACCTTCAATTCTGAAGGATAGCTTTGCTGGGTAAAGTAATCTTGGTTGTAGGTTCTTGCTATTCATCACTTTGAATATTTCTTGCCACTCCCTTCTGGCCTGCAAAGTTTCTGTTGAGAAATCAGCTGACACTTTTGGTGCACCCCTTTATGGGCTTTGTTCACAGTCTTGTTGTA